GAACAAGCAGAAATCACTATGAAACTGGAAGAAACAAAAAATCTAAAGCTACAATATGTCAATAATATTCAAACCACTACTACACAAATAAGAGATATACACGACTCAGATGCAGATCTATTCCAAAAAATTATTTAAGTTTTAAATATATATGAGAAAAAACCAAATTTTAAAGTTAAACCATCATTCAAAAAATGGTGTAACTATTGCTGAAGATACGGACACAGCATTGCTGAATGTAGAAAAAAACAGCAGGACAATCAAAACAAACCCAAAAAGTGCAAAAAACCAAACAAATCTTTTCATCAGTACATGGAGAAAGATCAAAATTTACCTAACAAAAACATCCACAGCAGTAATAGTTCTGGAAAACCACTCCCAAACATTTCATTTTTTTCTAAAAATCAATCACCTTATAATTCAAACTACAAAAGACAATCACCGAGCCAAAAAAAATTACGTAATTGCTCACAAAACAAGTATAGTTGATCAAATAGTCGAAACAATTAGTATAGAAACAAGTATTCAAGACCAAATTCAAGCCGACCAGAATTTTCGTTTGAAACCAGTTCCCGCTAACAATCTAGGAATAGACACTATTCCAATGATTCATCAAGAAACTCTTTATTTAATAGAAATAGAAATTATTCCATTAATGGGAATAGAAATTAGTCAAATGATCGAAACCAAAGATATCAAACAATAGATCACGTGATTGTTCTAGTAATAGATCAAATTATCAAAGATCAAATTAATACAACTATTAAAAAAGATCAAGCATTAACTCACAAAATAGAATTTCAAACTATAACAATAGACAAAGAAACTACTCACAATCACAACCACCACATAGGAATAACACACGTTATCCAGATTCCCAAAACAAATATAGAAGCAACACATCAAAACATCAAAGACAAATAAATCAAGTACAAACAACTGAAGAAGTCAAATCAGACCCCCCTAGTATCGATAATTTTGAAAATGACTACAAATCTCTCATATACGAACAACCATTTCATTCCCATATCTATGAAACTGTAAATCTATCTAAATGTTGAAAATATCTATACGAACAACCATTTCATTCCCATATCTATGAAAATGTAAATCTATCTAAATGTTGAAAATGACTACGAACCTCTTATATACGAGCAACCATTTCATCCCCATATCTATGAAAATCAGACAGAGTTTCTTCTAAACTATTACACAAGACCGACAAACAACAACGAAACAATTGAACAATTAGTAGATGGGAAAACAGAAGAAAAACCTGTAGAAACTTCAAGTACAAATCACATCTATCAAAACGTACCAAAAAAACCGCCTAAGAAAAAAGTTTTGGACAATTTCATTCATCTTAGAAAGCCCAAAAAGCAATGAATTTCAACCACTAGATCTCGAAATTGATTTTTTAATAGATTCTGGAGCAGAATCAAACATTATCAACATTCCCACATGAAATGAAATCAAAAATCTACATCCAAATTTAAGAATTCTCAAAACAACAAGTAGACTAGCCACAGCACAAGGCTCAACCTTCACAATTTACGGAAAAATTCGACTTTTCCTTGTTCCTACTAAAACAATGGAACAAAACAAACTCTTGAACAAACCATTCAAGCAAATCTTCCATGTCACAGATATAAAACACAATATCATTGGAATCCCACCCATTTACCACAAATTATATACTAACATAAATGAATCGAACAGCTTAAAGAAATATAGCTATGAGGGTTGGAGTATTTCCTCTAATCTTAGAATTAATTTTTCCTCTATTTACTAAGGTTGACGATTGGATAGGATTCTCGAGTCAATCTTGGTTGAGTCCAGTTCTGTTTGGTCGTCTTGAGGAGTCCTGTCCGTTGTTCTTTGTGCACTGGGTTCTTCTCGATCGTACTTATCTCGATTTACTGTTTATTGAGAAACATATTTTCTGTTTTATTGGGAAAAAAGAGTAGTTTTTCTATTTTTGTAAAAGTGAAAGAGAAAAATATTCATTTTAAAACTGAAGTTGTTAAAGTAGAAGACTTGCTGCTGGCTGTGCAAAGCAAAACACCGAAGATTTCAGGCCAGTCCTTTTGCTTGTAAGCATAAACCGGCGGCTATTCATCGTTAAGTATTCAGATTTCACTTAGTCCTTTTTCTCCCTTCCTCATAAGGGAATTTTCAACTAGATTCTATTTGGTTATTTCAAATCATATATCCTTAATTTATTAGTCCACTTTGATTAAAATTGCAGCCTTTAGTTCAATCTTATTAAAAATTCATAGTACTTTTTCTGATGCATCATATTGCAGGTGCATCTCTGCTTAATCAAAGCAAGGAAAATTCCTGTGCAGCCGGCAATACTGCTAAATTTTTATCCACCTTGTTTCAAGTTATAGTTAAAAGGGACGTGTTAGTAATCGCAGCTCTTTTAAAACACTGAGCATGAAGGAATGAGAAAAATTTGTCAAGTATTTGAAAAATAGTAGTTTTTCAAAACAAGAATTCATAGTCCTAATAAGAATAAATCAGTCAATATCTGATTTAGTGAAAAAAGACTTTAATTTAAATGTCACGCTCCAACTTAGAATTGGGTCAATAAAAAACATTTTAGAAAATGGTCCTTTGTCCGTGTAGTATTTCCAATACTACTGTAGTGAACCGTGATTATGAGGATAAAGGTGTTCGTTCGCGCTCGAGTTTTGCAGAAAGTAGAGTATAATCTACAGAAAAATCAATAATATTGAAAACAAAAATGGAGATTAAAACGTATCTTTTGAAAAAATAATCGAATCTAATGGATTAAAAGACCACTACATTCTTCTAATTTGCCATGTTAATTGATTATATAGACAGCATTTTAGTCAACCAGAATCAATCTTCTATAATCCAATTTTATCCATGAAACTTCGGTCATTACGAGGCCAAACTGTGAACTGGATAGACGCACAGTTTTGCGTCTGAAAGTTCCTGGATTCCATAGACAAACCTTTAAACATGTTCCAAAATGTCTGTGGATTCCACTTTCAAAACTTCCTTGGACTCCCCATTCAAATACCTGTAACGTAAATTTTACACGCAAAACTTGTAAGCGGATTCCGCAAACTGTATGTGGATTCAGGATTTTGTTGTTTACTGAACTTGCATGCGAACAATTAAAAGCTATAGCTTGAGTTCTTATCTATAGCAATGCGGAAATTAAAGGCAACGACCATTGTCAGCGGTGTCCTACAACAAATCTCAAAACATTTGTTAACTAAATTGGTGGATGTAACCTGTTAGTATTTTGGAAAAACAACGCCGAAAAAATTCAATATTTGTATTCATTGGCTTGAGAGTGTTTGGAAACACAACGCAAAGCGTATCGCTAAATTGGGTCAGTATTTGGGATTGCATCAGTATTTGGGATCGAGGTTCAAATCGAAGAAGGTCAGAGTTTGGGATCGGTATGTCAGTATTTGGGATTGCATCATTACTTGGGATTGAGGTTCAGATCGATGTAGGTAAGAATTTGGGATCGGTAGATTAGTATTTGGGATCGGAGTTCAAAAAGTCAGTATTTGGGATCGAAGTTGAGATCGAAGTTAACAGGATTTGAGATTGAAGTTGGGTTGACTGGAAATGAGACCAAACGTTTGGTATTTCAACTGGTAGTTGATCAATGTAGGAATTGAGATTAATTTTTCTGGTGACCAGTAATTAAAAGATAATTTTAAATGCTATAATACACATATAGATATGTTAAAACGGAATCCACAAACAAAATGCGGATCCCACTTACACTTTGTGGCTTTCGCTTACAGTTGCGGAATCCGCAACAGCTCAGTTTAACTACACAAATGTTTTGTTATTTATTTATGGATTCCACAAACTATTCTGGATTCCGCAAGTACTGTTGCGGATTACGCAAATTCGTCTATCTTTGAAGCGATTTTAACACGTACAGTGTTTTAAGTATTTTGTTTGTGGAATCCAAAACAGCGAAGAAGATCAAAGAAAAGTAGCAAAGTTGCGAATTCTGCGACAAATATGATTTTGGCCTGTTGTGGAATCCGCTTACAATGCACAGAATGCACAGTTTGGCTTCTTTATGTTGTTGGTTCCAACTAAAAATTTACAAAGAACTTGACAAAAAAACGATGTGCCAATTTTAGTGAGGAACTAATTTAGAGAGAGAAGCGCAAAAAAACTATGATGAGCCAATGAGTTAAAATTTTATGTTTGAAATTTATGTCAAAGTTTATTTAAAAACCTGCAGAACCAACATTCGATCATATTAGCACCTGTCTATACAAAAAATGAAACAAGGCTGCTCTATGATGTATCTTAAGTACTTTTTTCATGAAAATCATGAAGTGTTTAAAACAGATGAACAATTTCACAAAAAAAAATTTTTGGCATTATTTTTTGATTAAATTTTCTCAGATGGTATAATAATCAATCAAAACAGTGTTAGTTAAAAGTCAAAATGTTAGGGGAAAAACAGGACAAAACAACAAAACTCGGATCTTAAAGATTCGAATAGCGAATTAACGAGATAACTCCTATCAAGATGATGGCCCAATTGTTCGCATGTTAACGCATAGTATGACCCATCAAAAATTGCCATTATGGACATACGTTTCTATATAAAGTTCCTATAGAAAATTATATAAAGTTCCTACTAATTGCTTTGTCATGGTTAATTTGTAATTTTGAATCTGTGATCATATAATATCAAACTGATATTTTGAATTCGAGACGTCAGTATCGGAAACTTTTTAAGCAAAAACTCTGCCGCAAAGAATTCTTGTTATCATGGAAGTTTGTACGGAGAATAGACTAGGCAATCACGTAACAAACATTTTATGCCAACAAACATTTTACAACATACTGCGCATTAAAAATCGAGCAAGCGAAGAAACACGAATTCGACAGAACACAACTAATTATAATGAGTCATCACTAGCACCAGACACGTCTTAACTCGTGTTTTCAGTTCGAATTTTCAGTTTTGAAGTGCGAGTACAGTTTCTACCGTTCTTCGAAACTTTCTTAACGTGCTTTTGTTTGTTAATATGCAGTTTTAGAAAGTTATCTCAACAACTGTTCTTACATTTTCATTTGGTGGACCGTTTAAAAAATTAGTATATATTGGCGCCGAAGGCACCTTTAGAAAAGTTTTGGGGTCAGTCAGCCAAAATTGGATATCTCAAAATAGTGCAAAGGGGGAATCCTAACATGGAGTCGAATCCCTAAAGAAAAAAGGACGTCCGCAACACCCCCCCCCCTAAATCCGCCTCTTGTAGAAACGTATAAGTATCCTGAATTATTAAGTCATGGATAAATCTGACTTAAGTGCTAAATAAATTAATCAAAACCTGCAATTTCTTTCACTAAATCCGACCACGGAATTTGTTTGCGAAACTGTTTCCAAAAAGTTACTTAATTTTTCAGGTTTGAAAATTATTGTCAAATTTTCTTATTTTTTTTGTCGGGTGTGCGAAATCATAGTTTATGCCAAATTGTTGGCAATATCTTTTTCGGTCAACGAATCTGAACAATAAGTTAATTAACCTAAAACTGCTCAATTCGACGCCGGTTTCCAGTTTTATCACTAAAATTTCCGCAAGTAAAAACCACTCAAAACCCCTCAAAAAACTAAACAAACCCAAAATTTTAATAAGTTATCACCACCTAAAATGCTCAAGGTCACCTATGCTGTCACTAATTTGGCTTTAACTAGAAAACTAATTTCCGGTAAAAAAAAATTGATTTTTTTTTATAAAGTTGTTTTAGATATTATATTTGAAATTGTGAGATCAACGTTCATCCCAGAGAGTAAATCAATTTTTTTTAGTATTCATTGAAATAACTCCATTTTATTATTGACTGAAATTGATTTCTTATATCTCATCTTACTCGGCCCCAATAGACGAAACAAACTTGATCGACGTTTATTTTTGGTGCTTGAAAAAAGAGCACCAGCGCGAATCGAAAGTGAAATTACGCGTTCGGTAGCCAAAATGGAAACAAGTTACCCCTTCAAGTACTGAATAACTCGCTAGAAACGTTACGTTATCTCTGTGTCAATTTATTAGTTTTCTCAGAGTCTTTAAAATTACTCGAGTTTTGTGACGCCAAATTTTTAGTTTTATCTAAATTATTCATCTCCTAAAATCTTCGTCAATTCTTTCTTCTTACATTCGGTAAGTGAATTTTGTACATGCCAAATTATTAATGCCAAATTGATGGCAATATGTTTTTGATCAACGAATCTGAACGATGTTAATTAATCTAAAGCTGCTCGTTTCGACTTCGTTTTCCAGTTTATCACTGATTTGAGACGTAAAAATCAGTTCAAAAAACTAGTTAACCTAAAATGCTGTAATTTTTGACCAGTTGAGTTTCTCAAGGTCACCGAAATTTATCGGAAAACGTCTTATATTTTTGAAATAGATCTGAGAAACTAAAATAGCGTTAAAACTGCAATCGCACTTTCAAAACTGCATTTGAACTAACAAACGAGCAATGCGAAATGAGTGCGCTTTTTCGGAAAACTTCGTTTTTACCATATTTCCTTGACAGAATTGAATTTTTTTTTCAATCAACGACAATCTGCCATGTATTTTTTGAGAGTGAAAAAAAAAACGCTCAAAAAGCCGACAAAAATACAAACGAAAAAATTTCGCGAAGCATTTTGATTTAATTTAAATTTGAAGACAAACGCAAAGTCAATCCAGAAGACAACTCAGAAATTTTCACAGAAACTATAAGTCCGATAGATTAGTTAAAGGCTATAGAAGCACTAGCATTACATATCAACATGTTTGTGCCGGTAATCTATTTTCTCTTATGACAAAAAAATTATCATGAGTTCACCAGCTGCAGCATTAGAGTTCACATATCATTTCCTAATTTAAATTTAAGTAATTGTTACAACCCTTTATTAAGTTTAGGTGATCAACTTAAATTTTGCCAAATTTCTCGAGCACACGTACAAAATTTGACCCAAAATCCGACGATACATGTAAAAACACAGAACCGAACACAAAACTGAACAAGACTGCTCGTGTCAAAGCAAAGCCCTAAAATTTTCGAGTGCCTATTGAGGTCTATGGGGCAGTAACAATATGAAATAAATAAAAGTATTAAATAAAAACGATTTTTTTCAGCCCCCCACGCGACATTTCAAGTACAACGTGATAGCTTTTGCTTCTAGTAACACTGGCGAATAAGCTTCTTTTAACCAATTAGGAACGATTCCAATGACGGATTAAGTCTCCGCTTAAGTGCTAATCGCGCAAAATATATCGCGCCTTAATTGTCCCAAATTGGCCAAAAGGCAATGTTTAAACCCCCCTAATTTTACGAAAAATGATCACAACGAAACATTTTTTCAAATGTATGCTCAAAATACCTTTTGACTGTCAAAAATGGCGAGTTAAAAAGTCGAGTTTTGTCTGAAGAAAAAACCAATACGAGCACAAATAATCCGTTGCTTTCGTTTCGGAAGTCGGAACAATAAAAGTCTGTGTTAAAAGACTTAGCATTGGCTGTACTTAATAGTTGGTTATTGATCAAAACGAACACTTCCAAAACGAACACATTTTATTGCAATATTTGCGACTTAGGTTACAAAAAAGACCGTTCATACTATGATAGAAACATTGCGTGTAAAATAAAACTCAATTTATCAAAACTGGATCAAAAGACAAAATTTGATCTTCCGCTGGGAAGCAAAAATTAAATTCTACCTGAGAAAATAGACGTCGTTCAGGTTTTTTTACACCATTTCATGCTCGTACTTGGAGAGTGCAATTTTGCTGGTCTTCATCAGATGAATTCAAATTGAAGTCAAACATAGCCAACAGACTTTTGTCAGTTTTCTTTACCAGAGCGACACTGGACTTCCTAATTACAACGCCATTTTTAGGGTTACTGTGTACACTCTCAGATTTAACTTCTGAAGTAGCTTTCATATGTGTTTAAGGTGCGTTGGTACATTTGGCCTGAGGACCCGGTATTGACTACGGGCTCGTTCTTTGTTATCAAAACGGGGGTTTGTCCCTCTGGTTTAGCTGTACCTCGTCAGTCAGTTTCAGTGGGTGACTTCTGATTTTATGTCATACACGAGATCCGAGCAAACAACCCGACTCGTGTTCGATGGGTGTAGCATGTCCTGTACTGCAGGGTCGTTTCATCTAAACAGATAGTAATACCCGTGACTAATTCAGTTTGTACAGGGAAAGTTTTTAGATTGTGCAGAATCGTGTTTGCCTCGCATCCGTGGTTCTCTAACGGTTGCGGATTATTTGCTCTACGAATGTTAGTATAAGTTTTTTTACGCTACCGATGGTTCATTCTACACGTCCTGTTGCGCAATGGTCGTTGACCGGCGATTTTACAATTTAAATAATTTCGCATTTGCAAAATGTTTTCGGCTTATTTGACATAAAACTAGTCACCCGATCAACATGAATCTCCCGAGGTACCCAGTGAGTGACTACAAATGATTTTAAAAATTTAGCATCTTATCCGATTGGTTGTTTTTGCTCACCATAGCCAAAGACAAACGCAAAAAATAGTTAACCGCCAGGAGAACGTTTTTTATTCATTAAGATAATTAATTGTTCCACAAAACTCAAGTTGTTTCGATTCAATTGGTGTTTTTGGCTCGGCTATTTTACGAACATTATGTTTTCAAATTAGGGGGATGGGATTCATACCAGAAGCCTTATATTAGGCGCAGTTATCCGCAATTGACGCAGTAAAGATGAAAAATACCCTTGGCGGCTTGAAACTTGTTTGAATTTCCTTGATGGTAGTAATCAATTCGGTTATTGACAGCTGTTGTCAGGTGTATGGGGATAACTAATTTATCGACTATCCGACGGACATTATCTCTTACGCAAAACTCATTTACAAACTAGGTCTCTCTTTTCGATCAATTCTCTGATCGCAATGATTTGAGATTTGGACTTGCACTGGGATTCAACAAAAGGTAAATTGAATAACTCTGGTAGTGAAGTAGATTTGCTAACAAATTTGTGGCCCTGAGATCAATTGGCATAACTAGGTTGTTTGAGTGCAACGGTGGAATTGTTTCCCCACTAAACGCCAGGATAACAAAGGGCTGTGTTGGCTTTATTATTTTTTGTTTCTTTGGTAACCGCTTCCAACCTTGAGGTAGTAATTTATTCTCTAAATTTATCGTCGCTTTTTTTTTTGGCTCCGTTGTTTAGTAATAATTCTTTCCAACTTCCTGAAACTCTTTCTTGACATAATTTCGACACAAATCTGCACCCCTCCCCACGCACACACTAACATTTAAAGCTCGTTTGTCAAAAATTTCTCTTCCGTTTCGTTTGAGTACCTTGATGAGATTGAAATTGGTCTGCAGCGATTAAAAATGGTATAGCAGGGCCTAGCTGCTATACCACCGCGTCTTGTGGCTTGAGTCGCATACTATCCTGATGTCTCGATGGACATTGATGTTTCGGAGCTCTAGTATGTTCGCAACCTGCTTTTTCATATTTGAAAATGAGGCTTGGCACTCGATTGTTCATTCGTAGAAGTTTGTCCATTGTTTCTTCGATTTTTGGCAGCTTATACTTCTTTTTGTAGACTTGTTTTTAACATCTCTCGATTCATGTTCTAGTTTAACCCATTCGTGCTTTTGGACCATTATTACAATCAGCGAAACGAATTATTTATCGGAAGATTCTTCTAAGTTTCAAAAATAAATCTGCTTCTAAAATTTCTCGATTTTGCTGTCTACTTTATCTTGAGTTATTCGCATCGAGGGTCCTCTCCAGTTTTCCGAAGGTGAATATCAAGATCGGTATTTCGCTGTCTATCCAAACACACGTAAAAATCCCATTTATGCGTATTGGCAGTTGAGCCCCACTTTCAGTTTTTGGGCAGCAATTTTAGCTGACTGACAGCGCCAGGTAATCACCCAAACTAGCCGAATTCAGAGAGCATGGGGGCTTATTTACTGGGTTTAACCATCCCACTGAACTTTCGTGCTGGGAAATGTGATCAACCGCTGCCTTCGGATCATTAAATTCACAATCTCTGTGTTCCTGGATCTATCCAGCTGCTCCGCGCCGCCTTTGACAACTTTGTTTATCCCTGCAGTTAGGTTGATTATGTGCTTCTGTCCGGCGTTAGTTACGAGTGATCAACTGTGATCCCACTTTTAGCACCGACTGTTTCCGGCGATTTTCCCCCTCGGTTTAGTCCGTGCCCTTGGTTCGATCCTCTGCCGCGGTTTTTGTTTTGATTTGAAGAGCATTTCGCATTCGGGCCGATGAAGTTCCACTGCTCGTAGGATAAAGCGATCCCATACACTTCCTCCGGCAATCCTGGTGGCCGACACAGATCAGTTTGAACTTCGCGATTGTTCATATTGCTTATGAAAACATCACTAAGTATGCGTCCCTCTAACGTCTGGAAGTTACATCATGCGGTAAGACCGCAAAGAACAGGATGAAACTGTTCCAGTGACTCGTTGTTGTGCTGATTCCTAGATAAGAGTTGAGAAGTCTCGTATGTTTCCTTTCTTTGTTGAGTTCGGTTTCTATCGCTTTCACAAACTGTGGATATCTTGTCACCCCCAGATCGAGGTGCGGGCGCTTTGTGAGTAACGCTTCCTGACTTTTCTCCCCAGGCAGAAATAGAGATTCGATATAAACGTTTGTTCGCCTTCTTTTCTTTTTTTCCGTCCGCACCCGCTGCCTGCGCCCCAGTTTGCGCCGATGTAAGCGCTCCGTTGAAATTATAATTGTTTCTTTTTTTAATCCGTGTTTCACTACTCTTCCCCACTGGCATCTGTTTCACCGGAATTCCCAGAGCATGGGTGGTTTGCTGAATTTCGTGGGCCAGAAACCTGTTACTGCAATTGGATTTTTCCCCCACTTGAACCTGTTGATTGCGCCATGTTGAAAATCCGTTTCATGAAAAATAAACTGCAGATAGAATAGATTAATTTAATCCTTTAAAGTATAGCATAGGAGTGAGAAATAGAGGTAACGTGGAGGGTCACAGACAACGCCATTGACAAGCAACGCCAATTAGCATCAATTTTGGCAGATGATTGACAGTACAGATGGTCAGATTGAATGAACTAATGTGAAAGTTGAAATAACACTCCACGTCAAACTTTTATTGAATATCTTCAACTATCCCCCCTTTGGTCTCTAGTAACGAATTGCCGTCCCTTTAAAAAAATAAATAAATGATTAAGCATATGTGAATTTTGTATCTAGTAACGATGCGCCTTTTTGCAAAAGGAAGGAAATGGATAGAGAGATCACCCGTATGACTGTAGGGTCGTTAGTAAGTTATATGTAAAATCTAGTTTTGATCAAGTTTCAGGAGTACTTGTACATCAATTTTTGGCCATTATTCAGCGGTTGAGCTTCGTGAAGGTTGAGCTAGGTTATTTGCAAAGTACTACCTGTTTGAAAAAAATCGCATCAAAACTTTCACGTTTTAAAAAAAATTTTGTCTGGATAACTGAGCTCGATAATTCAATTCTTAAATCTAAAAGATCTGCGGCTATGAATACGAGCAGTTTGTTAGGCACTTAGTTTTCACTTAGTTGTGAATTCACACGTGAACTTATAAAGGGAAAAAACTCGAAACAATTTTTCCGTCAAAAAGCACATAAGATAAGAAGTAAACCATAATAGATAATTAGATATGTCAAGAAAAAGTAAGTAATTTTTTTTGTCAGCTCAATTTTTCTTCTGGGTCTAAATGGATTCGCAAGACCAAGAATCAATCGAACAACACCCGTCGGGAACAGATACAGCAGAGAGAAAATTATCTGATTGCGATACATTTGAAAGAAATTTAAGCAAGCTGACGCAAGAATTGGACAAGATAGAAATCCACTGGCCCGGAGGGGGGAAAATTATTTTCAATGACGATGCTTCCTTGAAGCGGTTCATGGAAAACCAGTACCCAAAGTGGAAAAACAGAGGTGAGAAAACGTCTGTACCATGTGTGAGAATCTCTCAAATAATAATTCCAAACGAGCAGTTGGGTACAGAACTGCAGAAACATTACAAAGCACTTCAAAAAGGCGATGAAGGGGAGAGCAAAATTTACAGACTGTTTGTCACTGAAGTGTCCACGGATGATTCCGGAATCATCATTCTTCCAAATGTAGACGGCAGCCATATTTTTGAAAAAGGCGGTCCAGGCAGCGTGGAAATTGACATGATAGTTGCACATCCAACGAAAGGAATTTTCGTCTTTAACGTGAAAAACGAATTAAAAGTAAATAAACAAAAACTTCAATCCGATTTTGAAAAACACAAAAATTTTGTACGATACTTATTGCGTTACAATACACGCTCTACAGAATCATCTGGAGATAATGTTGACAAAAACGACGATAATGAAGTTCCAATTCACAATGTATATTGCTCTTTAGCGGGTAAAAAACCAGCATATGCACCCAAAAAACGTCCAGAAACCCAAGATGAACCGAATCTGAATTGGTACGACAAAGATGGACAGACTAATCAATTGATTGTTTTTTATCAGTGGCAATTCAACGAGTTTGCAAAACATTGGAAAGATACGCTTCAAAAAATTCCAGAGATGAAGGAATCCGACAAATTTGACCCCCTTGTTGCCCGTCTTGTTGCTTTGAACTCCATGGAAGGAGACAGCGCTCTAATTCATCGCCAATTTGTTTCTGAAGATATTCAGTCTATTAAAGTCAAAACAGAGAAACTAGAAACTTGGCTTGAAAAACAAATCGATGAAGTTGTACCTCAAAAAGATGATAACTGCAAACAAAAACTCATACGAGCCTCGAAGTCAGTGTACAACCAGACAAAAAACGAAAAAACGACGGTGATTCTTTGGACCAGAGAACAGTTGGATGTCATCGGCAAAGTATTCAAAGGACTTACAGATCTTTCAAAAGATTCTGAACCTCTACGAATAAACGTAAGAGGAACAAAGGGATCTGGAAAGACGATGCTGATGATCCATTTGGCTAAATTGGCCAAGAGCGTTCTCTTTGAGACGGGACAAACAGAAAGTAAAGTAGTTATATTCGACGGGTCTTCTCTTAGAGCTCTGGTTCTTTTTTCACAGATGAAGCAAACGTTAAATGGATCAGGCATTGAGTTTTGGACGGTTCAGAATGTCTCCGAGAAACTTGACAAAATAGGAAAGGGAATTATTTTTATAGACGAAGATCCTCTCACGTACCCAAAGATGCAAAAACTTTTATTAAAATGTGACGAAAAAGGTGTGCATTTCTGCATCTTTTCCTCGGAAGAACCAGTGTTTTCGGGCTATGGCCTAAGTAAAATTAAATTCAATGACGTCATCCTCTCACATGCCATGAGATCCACGAAACAACTCCACACTTTTTCACGCAATATTGTCAGAAACACGAACACAAACATTGGATTCCGTGAAATTTACGGAACACCGTCTCATAGTCTTGAGGGAACCAACCGGCCGGAGATCATTTACGTTGAATCAACCAATGGATCTGAAATGGAAACGTTTTTTGAAAAGTGCATCCAGACAATAATGAGATACGCTAGAATGTCCAACGACAAATCCAGCGTTCTTGTTGTTACCAACTTTTTATCTCCAAAAAGTCAAATTGCTATCGTATCTGCTTTAAAAAAGGAAAAAATAGCTTTGCGCTCTTTTTCGCATGGGATAGTAATCGACAGAAACGATGAAAATTTACCATTCATTCGTTTGGAATGCAGCGACAGAATCTACGGAAGCGAATTTGCAAGTGTTGTTTTGATGCTAGAGAAATTGGCATGGCAAAGTTCTCAAGGCTTCAGGAGAACTTTTCGTGCGGCAGTAACACGTGCAACAACCAATTTGGCCATTGTTATATCAAATACTACTTTTTTCAATTCTCCGCTAGAAGAAAAAGAACTTACGGATGCAACTTGTGATCTGTGAGGTTTTCATTTTTTTTTACAACACTTGAAAAGTCATGGCCGCTTGGAAATTCGCGACATTCTCAAAAAAAAATTATCAAGTCGGTTACGCATTTTGTAGCGGAGATGCGCAGTTTTCTCAGTCAAATAACGCAGCGCTTCTCTTGAAATTCGACCGCGAATTTTGAACGGTATTTCGTAGAGATTTTTGTTCCGACTTTCAAAGAAAAAGACTGAATATTTGTGCTCGGGGTGGTTTCTTTTATCCAGACAATATTCGACTTTTTAATTAGTCATTTTTGACGGAAGTTTTTATATCAGCCAAAAAGTATTGTTTTCCTGAGCTGAAGTTTGAAAAAATATATAGATTCATTATAAACATATAGATTCATTATAAATTATAAAGATTTTAAGGTTACAAATTTGGCCAATTTGGGACAATTAAAGCGCGATATATTCCGCATTGTTGACTTTCGCATAAAACGGAATATTTATGCTCGGTGTGTTTTTGTTTATTCAGTCAATTTTCACCGATCGAAATAATAGTTCTCGACAAAAATTTTTCATACCATATTGAAGATATCAGCTCTGAACTAAATTATGCGAAGAGCGTAACGCGAATTATTTATGCGTGACAAATTATCCCGCACAACAAAATTGTTCCAAAATGAATTGAGGCTAGCTAATCAGATCAGTCGTATTAATTTTGTACGACTCGACATTTCACACTTTGATATTGTTCAAAAATTTATAGGTTTTCAATGTTTTCTTTTTCGAAAAAATTTTGAATATAAATAAGTGACAGTCTGAACATTCAGGGCTTTGCCCCACTACGAGCAGTTGTCTTTTTGTTCCGACTTTCGATACGAAAGTAACGGAATATTTGTGCTCGGGGTGGTTTTTTTTTCTTCAGACAAATTTCGACTTTTTAACTAGCCATTTTGACGGAATATTTTTATATCATTCGAAAGGCATTGTTGTCCTGAGCTCAAATTTGATAAGATATTTAACCTGTGATCATTTTTCGTAGAGTTATGGGGGTTTAAATTTTGCCATTTTGACCAATTCGGGACAATTAACGCGCGATATATTTCGCGCTATTAACACGTAAGCGGAGAGTTAATCCGCCTTAGAACTCGTAAAATTGGTTAAAAGAAGCTTATGTGCCATAATTGGTTTGTTAAAAGTAGCTAAAACTATCCTTTTGTACTTTATATGGCGTGTGGGGGGATGATTTTCATAAAAAACTTCAAATTTTAGAATTTTTTTTTTTCATTTTGTTTTATTTCATTGAATTTCTTTAATGTTATTACTGCTCCTTAAACCTTAAAATGCAGTCTGAACATTCAGGGCTTCGCCCTGATACGAGCATTCTTGTTTGGTATTTTAAAAGCATGGTATTTTTTGAAATTGAGTAATAATAATTCAGCATTTATTGCTTGCTAAGTTTTTTAAAATTCTTTTCTCTACATGTCATGATAAATTCTAGTTTTCATGGACAAAATACGGAAGCATGGTACTTTTTGGTATCTCGCTATACCAGCAATTTTCTTCCAATTCCAATGCCGTATTTTGATCCAAGTCCATTTCCAAAGTATTTATAGACATACTTTGCAGACTTCACTTGTTTTCGGAATCAATTTTCGGTTGTCAAGTGAAAAGTTACGTCATTTGACCAAAATTTACAAGATTTCCGTAACAGGTACAAGCTGTTTATTTACTAGCTGATTATACTTCGTTCTGTAATAAAAATTGCTGAAAAATTTTAAAAAATAAATAAAATAATATCTTTTACTACGCCAAAATTTTATTTCCTTTTCATTTATATGAAAACCTCACTTCATGCCAGAAAAATTAGAAATGTTCAAGTTGTTAGAAGTAAGCTCGCCGGATGCATCACGTCACTGTTGAAAATTTTTAGCCAAAATTTTCAAACTGTATTGATTATTGGTGCGATTCCAATAATAGACTGTTTGAAGGAGACCGAAATGAATGAAGACGGTTTGAATTGGATCTCAGCGAACGAAGCAAAAAAGTACAGTTTCAACGCAGACAAGACAGTTTTTGTCTTCTCAAACGTTGCAAAATCTTGTTCAAGGGCTGCACAAAAATGGTATCAACAGCAGAACATTTCTGTTTACTTCTACGTTGGTAATAACAAACTCGACAATACGATCTTGCAATTACTGAAACTGCCAAAAGGTTCGGAAAAAATAAAGATTTATTGTCGTAGGGATCTTTTGCTTGACATAAGTCAATTCTCCAAAGACCTCAAAGAGCTGGCTGAAACCAATGTCAACAAAACTTTATCAGACAATATTCACCCAGCGATAACAAAAACTGAGCCTGACGATACCCACTACACTCGGAAAGATCTAAGGCAGGGTTGTAGAATGAATACTTTTTAAAAATTTCCTAAAAAAAACAAAAGTAATTTTCTTTCACTTTAAAAGTACATTTTTTGGCTGAGGCAAAAAGAGTCTTCATTTAGAATTCTTCAATTTTATCTGCTTCTGCACTTATTTAGATTATTAATTAAATGACCACATTTATTTTTTAGGGTCCCCCGGGTTTGTTGTACCTCTCGTGACTCATTACTTTAAACTGTTTCTCTATAGAGAGTTGCAAGCAGTTCGGACAGACGGAATTAAACAAAAAGAGCAATCGTACCATTTTGACAGATTTTTGCATGCAATTTTTTTTCAGATAACCTTGAGACATAATATTGGACTGAAAAATTAAATTTTACTTGCTTATTTTTTGTAAAATAGGTCAATTGCTCTTTTTAATTAATTTTGTCTGTCCGAACTTTTTGCTATAGAGAATTGCAAAAAGTTCGGACAGACAGAAATAATTAAAAAGAGCAATCGTACCCTTTTGACAGATTTTTGCATGCAATTTCTTTTTTCATACAACCTTGAGACACAAAATCAGACTGAAAAATTAGATTTTGCATGCAAAATATTTCCAAAATAGGTCAATTGCTCTTTTTAATTAATTTTGTCTGTCCGAACTTTTTGCTACTAATTATACTAATTATAAAATTAATTTTGTTAGAAAAATCACCTAATTTTTTCTTTGAGCCGTAGAAACAAACTATGGACATTTTTATTTATTTAAAATTTTCTTACAACCCTGATCCAAGGGAATGGTTGTCCGTTTACGAGACTCTCATCGGTGAGGAATATCGACCAATTTCGTGGCAAACGATATTCAATGATGCAAGCAGCTTACTTGGCAGAGAGTATCTTCAGAATCTCAAAACTCGCAATCTAGAAGAAGCAGTTGCTTGCAGGTATCTTGTTTACTATAACTCCCCTATGTTATAGAGAGTTGCAAAAAGTTCGGACAGACAGAAATAATTAAAAAGAGCAACTGTCTAGACATCAGCGGAAATAAAAACTGAAATAAACATAACGTCGAAAGTTCATAACGCAGAGTATCGCTTAAAATTTATAACCACGGCGGGCAATTGCATCCGAAGCGGGGAATAGTAAACCTTGAAACGGAAACAGGGGGGCTAAAATTTTTCTACAATTAATTTCTAAATTTCTAATGATTCGATCATCTTATTTCCGTTTGTTTTTTTTGGAACGGCCTAATCTGTTTTTTTTTTGTTGAAAATAACTATAGTTTTTAGTTTTTTTAACTACTTTTGCTAACTATTTTGTAGTAAATCTGGATGTCGCAGCATTTAAAAATTAGGCTAGCATAATCATCGGATAATCGACGATCTTGCTTTTCGAATTTGGTCTGACAAAAAGTTCAAGGTTGTCCGGCGTCAGATTTTGCATGCAAAGAAGCGTCAAAAAGCACTGATTGCTCATTTTAATTAATTCTGTCTGTCCGAACTTTTTGCTACTAATTATACATAGCAATCGCGGTTTAAGGTCGCGATGCCACCGGTCAGGGTCTGTCTAGTGATTTGGGGGAGCTCGGAATATTATTGATCTGATTAAATTGAAGAAGGTTGACCAAAACTTCTTTTCGAAAATCCGTCCCTTCGAGAAAATCCTGAATCCGCCCCTCCCCTTTTGGTAGTTAAACGATACCCACTTTGGCAAACCCTAAACTGTTCTAAAAACGCCTTGCCAACGGTAGCAATAGATAATATTTCTGAAAAAAAACCTTCAAAAAAAAATCAAAAATGCCATAGCGCAATCTCAAACGCCGTTGTTTCAAAGCAGAAAAATATTTTGAGAGAATTTCTAAACCAACTTTTTCTTGGTAAACTTTTCAGCAATTTTGGTTTTCTTTTGTCTAGACTCAAATATTTTGGAGTATAAAGTTCCAATTAAAAAACGGGTTGGCGGCGGGTTCCACCCCCTGATTAAACAAATACATAAAGGGTAACAGTTGGGTGTTCAATCGCATAAGGGACACACGCAAACGTTAATACGTTTTTTTTGTCTTATAGCAAATTACAATGGGTAGAAAATAATAACCAAGATCCGCTTTCAGGAAAGATGCGTCTGATTTGCTGCGAAAAATCTCCACGCTAGCCCACGAAAATTCAGAAATACACCTGAATTATCAAATCCATTCTCTATTTTACGCTTTGCTGGGCGCAAAAACTCCTATTGTCTGTAACCCAACAAACTCAAAGGAATGCAAAACACCTACATATTTATATGAAATCGCAGTTCAGAAGCTCCTCGCATTTAAATCAGAAGCTGCAGATGTCAGTAAAACAAGCAACCCATTGATCAATGATGATCGCTTAGATTTAAGTGCACCATACTTTTTTGAAGTAAGTGAGAAGATGAAGAAGCGAATACAATTTAGAAAGAAACTGGAGCTCATTGGATGTTGCAGCGAACAGGTATGTTTTTGTTAACTTGGGGATATTAGAACCGTACCTCCATAAAAGTTTCGCGCATGTTTTATCTGGGATGTAAATGTATCGAGGATACTGATTGTATAAGAATCTAGTGTACAATATTACGCAATGGTTATATAACATAACAAGAAAAAACATAAATTACTACGAGGACGAATCAAATAATTGATTTAACAAAATAAATGTCCTTGAATGCGGAAAGACTCTCCTTATTGGGTAACAAGGTGTCATCTTTTCCTATGATGAAATTTTTAATCAGAGTTTTTGTCAATGTGTACGGTAGTTTTCGATTAAACAAGGTTCGGATTATTGTGTTAAGGTTTCTGATTGATGTGAATAAGAAAGACTTATGAAGGAAATCAGTTTTACATGTTAAAGGGAACAGTAATAATCCAGTTCGATGGTTATAGCGGAATTCAGAATTTGGGAACCTTAATGCGTGAAAGCTGGGGCATCGTTTCGGCATAACCTGTGAAGGTAGTGTGCTGATCGGTACTCGATTATATTCCGTAGGAATTTTGTGCTGTTTCCTTAGAAGTGTAACGGAATCTCGTTTGATTATATTCATTATTATCCTGATTCCCCATTTTATTTGTTTTTCGAGTTTCTCAATATTATCTTGCGTACATCCATTTAAGAGCATGCATGGATAGTGCAAATGGCTCAGTACAAGAGTATTTAACAGGAGAATTCTAGTACGCAGAGGGATTTTGTCTCGGATGCATTTTATCGTTTGGATTAATGTAGCCGTTTTTTGTAAAATTTTGTTGATTTCTTTGTCAAATGTTAGGCTTATGTCAATTTTGACGCCGAGAAATTTAACTGTCTCTGTTAAATTATTTTTATAGTTTCCAACTTTCAATGAAAGATTTTCAGTTAGTTTCTTTTTCGACAGTGCAGAAAATACAATGAACTGGGTTTTGTCTACATTAATCATTAATCGATTTAAGTGAAAATACAAGAGAATTTTATTGAAATTGTTTTCAATGCTCTTTGTTGCTGTTTCGGGATCTGAATGAAAACTAAGCAGAGTCGTGTCGTCGGTATATTGTACTAACGTACATGATTTGTCTATTGTTTGTGGCAAGTCATTTACATACAAGTTGAACAGCAGTGGTCCTAGTACAGTACCTTGGGGAACACCTTGCTCTAATTTAAGCTAATCTGAGTGTTCGCCGTTTACTATTGTCAATTGCTGTCTGTTATCTAGAAATGACTTAAAAAGAGTTGTTGCTGACTGTTCAAAGCCAATGTGACTTAGTTTCCTTTCAAGGACTGAATGAGAGAGTGAATCAAATGCTTTAGATAAATCAACAAATGCAGCCGCTGCTATGTTATTTTTATCGAGATGGAATCTGGTTTTTTCTGTTGTGTATAAAAGAGCATCATTAGTTGAATAACCTGGACGAAAGCCAAATTGTTTTGGCTTTAGAAAATTGGAATTTGCTAAGTATTTGTGAATTTGGGATGAAAAAATTTTTTCAAACAACTTCGATAGAGTGGGTGTGATAGAAATTGAACGATATATTACTGGATCTGTCGAGTCGCCTTTTTTGAACATGGGAAAAACGTGTGCCTTTTTAAATTTATTTGGGAATACGGATTTCGAGATGCATTCATTGATAATCATCGTAAGAATTGGGTTTACAGTATTAATGCTGTCTTTTAGAGCCCAAGCAGGGATTTTGCTTGGTCCTAATGGCTTGTTTAAGGGAAGTAATAAAATTGCATCTTTCAGTTCATTGTGAGTTATGAACCTGAATTGAAAGTGCCTATTTGTTTTGCTGTGTACACTGTACTCAGTTGGTACATCTATGGGAGGATCTGCGTTTTTGTATTCTCCTAATGTTGAGAACCTGTAGTTAAGGAAATTTGCTTTCTTCTTACTTTCAATTATAGTGTCGCCAAACGAATTCCGTAGATCACCTATTTGCGTTGACTGTTTCATGGTGTTCCTGATAAAGTTTACGAAATTCCATTGTTTTTTTGGACAGTCAAGCATTTTGAATTGGGCTGTTTTCTTTTTCTTGTATAAATGTTTTAGATGATTGTTGTATTTATTTCTTATTCGTTTATAGTTTTCAAAATTGGCATCTGTTCTTGATAATTGATATGCCTTTAGAAGATTTTCTTTTTCCTGTTTTAAAGGTCTATTGACTGAGATAAGTAATTTACCAGACAGCTGTAGCTGCGGTTTATTTCGGATATACTTCTGCTCTAGTGGTGCGTGAGCGTTTAGGGCATGCGAGAAAATATCTTCAAATTTTATTAACATTTCAGAGACATCGTTTTCTTGGTAGACGAGAAACCATGGACTCTGTTTAAGTTCCTCGCAGAACCTATTTTTACAATAATTGGGTTTGTTGAAGCGAAAAGTTCAAATTGGAATGGCTTTTTCGAATCGTTTTAGTTTGCTAATACACATTGTTTTTAAATGGTCCGTTTTTATAGGTGGTTCTGCTACAATAGTTTCTTTACAAAGAGATTTGGTTGCTATAATGTTATCTAAAATGGATTGGCTGTTTTTAGAGTTGTATGTCGGTATCGACTTATTGGTTATTGACAAACTGTATGGTTTAATAGAATCGCTGAGAAATTTAGCTTCATGTTTATTCACGCAGTTAATCTTGAAATCTCCCAAAATTGTAACATCTCGCGCTTCAGATGCAGCGTAATCGATACCTTTTAGTGTATCTTCTATAAAAATTTTCTTGAATTGTTTGTGTGGATTGTAGGCAATAGCAATTATCTGTCTTTTTGATTTTTTTTAGATGAATGGGCTATATTCCACCTAAAGTCCTTCAAAATGGGAAGACGTAGATATTTTAAATCACTTCGAATCTTAGGGTTAAATTTTTTCGGAATAAGACGAAGAGTACCACCACCTGCGTGTTGACCAGTGCATTTTTTGTTACGGTCGCATCTAAAAGTTTCATGGGTTGTTTTGCAGAATGAATAAGTTTAATGATCGCCTGTTTCGTCAAGCCAGGTTTCCGTAAGACCGATAATTGTGTTTGAGTCAACTATTTCCGACAAGAAACGTATTTCCATGTGTTTGTTCTTTATGCTTCTACAATTTAGAGTTATATATTTGAGGAAGTTGTGGTGTTCCTTTGCTTTGTTTGCCAGGATTTCATATGAAAGTGCGGGACCTGGATTGACTTCGATGTCCCCACGTTGAAGAAGCAGGATTTCCAACATTCCAATCGGAAAGGTTAGTATCAAAACTGCGCAATAGATGCCAGCTGTGAATCTAAAGTGGCGGTTAGACGTCATATTTCTAGTTTTGAGTAGTGCGGTGCTCTTGGGTACATTGTAATTAATGGGAATGCTAGTTAAAAGGGAGAAAAAAAGGAGAGTCTTTAAAAGCCATTGGCTAAACATAAATTTGATAGATCCAGATCATTGGGTAATAGACTACTAAAACAACATTAGTATGGATAGTATCTATTATGGCGTAAGTCATAATTACTACGCTTGGTATTCATATAATTGTAGGTTTGCTTGTTGCTGAAACCATGGCTCGCAAGACTCTTTGGGTGCTCGGGGGCCCCACGAGACTTGGCTTGAACCAGGTTTCATACGATTCCTCTGAGGGTGCGCTGGGCCCCTAGAGTTGGAAGTATTCGGAGAAACAACTCGAGGTGATAAGCTGGATAATGGCAGCACCTTTTCCATGGTTGCATTTTTTAAAGTACTAACAGAAAGCATCAAATGTATTTCGTCAAAGAAGATTGACTGATAGTCGTTTATGCTGACAATTTTATCGTATATAGGAACAATTTGATTTTTTTTCTTAAATTTATAAGCAATAAGGCTGTTGAATTCAGTTATACGTTTACCACTTACAGAATCGGGTCCCGTATTCACAGGCGGGACTTGGCATATATTGATTATTGCAGGTGAAAACTTTGTCTCAATTTTACTAATGGTGGCGCAAAAAGTTTCAAATACATCATCTACAGGTTTGTGTAGTTCCCTTGTGAGGGAATTGGTGCCGTCCTGGAAGGTTACTGATTTCAGCTCAGTGTCGTGGTACTTTTTCACAACTGATTGTTTCTCGCTGCAAAATGATCCGTGGTGAGAATGAACGGCCACGTCTTTGGACAGCTCCTTCGTGTCAAACTCCGCTAAAAAACTTGAACCAATAATCAAGTTTTGAGTATCAGTGGGGATTACTTTGGCAGCAAAATCAATAGGTGCTCTGAGTCCTTTTGCGTTTTGATTACTGTTTGGCGTATTACTGGGTGTTGCTAGTACATTGACAAGGTTATATATTTGAACGTAGTACTTATCTTTTTGTTCGGGATTGAGTTTCGTGAAGTCGTCGGGCAGTATCAGAAGCATTGGTGTTGACGTTGTGTGAAGCCAGGAAAATGCCAGGAATAATGGTGCTGTTGGTGTCAAGGATAATATGCTGAAGTTAGTAGTCAGTGCCCAAAGAATGGCAACTTGTGTTTCATCACTCTCAGCAAAATTATAAACAGGCTCCTCTCTTATGTTTATTTCGACTTTATTAAAATTGGAAACTAATTAAAAAGAACAACTGTCTAGACATCAACGGAAAGTAAAACTGAAATAAACATAACGTCGAAAGTTCAGAAAGCAGAGTTTCGCTCAAAACCTATAACTTCGTCGGGCATTTGCAACCGAAGCGTCAAATAGTGATAGTCCTCTTGAAACAGGACAATTTTTGCTCAACGTGGCTAATGTACTTCTGCGATTAGTTTCCAATTTTTGAATAATTTGATCAGAATCTTCACTTCGGTTTTTTGGGCGGCCTAATCTGTTTTTTTTTTTGTTGTTCTTTGATTTTTTGACTAATTTTTCTAACTGTTGTATAGTAAAATCTGGAAGCTCATCTCAGTTTTGAAAAACTAGGCTAGGATAATCATCGGATAATTGACGATCTCGCTTTTTGAATTTGGTCTGACAAAAATTTCAAGGTTGTTCGGCTTCAGAGTTTGCATCCAAAAAAGTGA